GATGCAAAGTTAAAAATCTGGTGTGTCCACTCACACGACTTTCCTACCTATTTCAGAAAAGTTTTTATATCTTTACGTATGTTCATGAAGAAACAAAAAAGAATTGAACTAGATAAATTTTCCTGAAAATTGATCTAACATAAGATTTGAGTACGATTTATTTGATAAACTAAAGCAATGTAAACCGGATTAAGGTAGTCAATTTCTGTTAAATGTAGAAGAAATAGTGAAGATTGTGTGATGCGGGCAGCAGATTTTCTTACATTCACTTAAACATCTTTATTCTCTCATTCACCCCTTTCTGACACCAGGATATGAAAACGTAATTTTAGATTGGAAATTGAATAGCCGTAAATTCGTTAATATTTGTCCAAAATGAACGATTTTTATGTGGCTTTGTAGGGAATTTAATTACCTTTTATACAACTAGTAGTAGTGTCAAAACACTACGAAATAAAAAAAAGAAGTAACAAAATAGGTTCAGTAGTTCTCGATAAAATCTTGGCACAGACAGACCAATGGCTAAAAATGTGTTTTTCGGACTCAGGGTGCTCTGAAACGTACAGATTCGTCGAAAACCGCATGTCGGAAATTTGACCCGATTGCAATACTTTCCTTACCTAGTATAGGTAGGAATTCCTAGTATAGGTATATTCTTTAGACCACACGATAGAAGTGAAAACATCATTAAGGCGAGATTAATAATATGAAATATAAATTATAAATAATAATTAGTTATACAGAAAATGAAATGATAAACGTAATTGGTTGACTGTCGTGGGTAATGAAGAGAAGAATAGTTGGGGTGGTAAGTCAAAAAGGAAGGCAAAAAATAAATGATAATATTTATTTCTTGCATATGCCGACGTTTCGACCTGGAGTTCAGGCCTTCATCAGGGCTAAGAAAATAACCAGATAACAAGGTATGAGAAACATAAGTAATGATGGTAAAAAAGATAGATATTTATTTTAGATATATATTTATTTTTTATTTTATTTTTTATTTATTTATTTTTTATTTTTTATTTATAATAAATAAATAATAAATAAATAAATAAAAATAAATAAAAAATAAATATATATCTAAAATAAATATCTATCTTTTTTACCATCGTTACTTATGTTTCTCATACCTTGTTATCTGATTATTTTCTTAGCCCTGATGAAGGCCTGAACTTCAGGTCGAAACGTCGGCATATGTAAAAAATAAATATTATCATTTATTTTTTGCCTTCCTTTTTGACTTACCACCCCAACTATTCTTCTCTTTGAAATGCTAAACGATTCCCTCACTTACAGTATGCAGGTCCCATTTTTAGTTTCTGAGATATTTTAATCCATATTTTGAATAAAACTCGTCATCAATTGATTTTCGACACTATTTTTTTCTCTTTTCATCTCTCTAGCATGACATCGCGTTAAGATATAATTTTTAATAATATAGTCTGTGATACAGACCCCTTTTGATCAAATTATTAACATCCGCCTGAAACTTCGTAAAAAGCTTCATTTCTTCTTAACCTACAAATATTTTATTTGCGACCTACGCTTAGCCTATATAACCTCGTTATTTTCACGCCAAACGACTCAATATTTTCGAAGGCCACCTTTTTTCTCGATTTTGTTGTCAAATTATCTTACGATCCAAGTAGAAAGCAAATATGTATTTACGATTTTTTAGTACTTAATTAAATAGACAAACTTTGTCCCCCTCCAGATTGAGGACGCCCCAATTCCAAGACTTTTCGTGAATAAAATAGTTGTAGGTTACGATGAGGCGAAACTATTTACGAAGTTTCAGGCGGATGTTAATAATTCGATCAAAAGGATTCTGTACCACGGACTAGGAACTCATGTGAACTAGTACATTTTTTCTTAAGGCATGGTTATATTTTACCATTTGAATGAGGAGGGGGGCTTCAGTCAAAAAGCCATCACCTCCCCCCTCTCCTACGTAGATCCGCTTGAGGTAAGTGTATTATACAGCTGTAGTCTTGTCTTCCTTGAGAGAATTTTTTATTAGAGTAGTTTAAGAGTCGTATAATACATCTTATTTCCGGCCATTATTCTACTTAATATTTCATGGCAAATCTTGTTTTCTGTATTTATCGATGAGCTTAGGCTAAGTGAAGCCGAACAGGGTTTCAAAGTTATTATCGTACAGAGATACATTGACGTTTCTTTGTTCAATTATTATTAGATTATTTACGGGTTTTCAATAGGATAGGTTTTGTTTTTTATTTATTTAAAGTAAGCCTAGCCTTGCAATCTCTTTTTACATTCACTTCAAAAGGTTTCTTTTAATGCTGATTCGCTTCTGGGCATGATAATCAAATCATCCCCATACGTGAATAGTTGCCGAGTTTTATTGGCTGGCGTTCCAGCTTTAATTGGATTTTTAAATGGTGAATGTAAGGCCAAGTTGAACAGTGTAGCTGATATTAGGTTACTCCAGAGCTCTAGCGGATCCAGGATTTAATTTTTTTGGGGGGGGGGGAGCTTTAGCCAGAAAGATTTTTTTTTTTTCATATACATATAACGATAATTAATTTTTAAAAAAGAAAGAAATTTAACTACCTATATGAAATGGTGTTTAAGTGGTTCCTGAAGTCCTATTAAATGTAATTACACGAACAAGAATACTTTAAGAGATAGTTTTTAATATTTTTTATCTGTAAAACATGGTTATATTTTACCATTTTTAGGGAGGGCTTCAGACCGAAAGCCCCCCACGTAGATCCGCCTGTGCTTTAGAGACCACTTGTTTTTTTATATCCACCATCATCAATTTTTTTTCTAAATCAATCAAATTATTTATAATCCATAAATAGTAGACGAAGGTCAATATTATATTCATAGAAGTTCCATAGTTTGCCTTAAGATAAACATATCGGAAGCCGCGTTGGTATTCACCCAAAGTCTTCCTCAGTAGAAATGTTTCTTGATGATGATGGGAAACATTTTGATACAAAATCTTGTCTTTGGAAATCTTTGAATTTCTTTTTTGATTATCATTATATAAATTGGCAAAGACAAAACGGTTCAGTACCTTTTTCTCCTTTGTTTTTCAACCGATTTTTTCTTTGTTTATTACATATTGAAGAGCTTTAGTGTTATTAATAAAAAGTTTCTGAAACAGTGCATATAAATAAAAATCTAGTGTGTCCATTCAGAGGACTTTCCTACCTATTTCAGAAAAGTTTTTATATCTTTAAATATGTCCATTAAGACACAAACAAAACTAATTAGATTTATCTTTTTGGAAATTGATCAAACAAAAGATTTCAGTACGATTTATTTGATAAACTAAAGAAATGTAAACCGGCTTGTGGAAGATCAGTGTAAAAAATTCAATAATAATAATAATAAAAGGCTTAGCGAACCCGAAGGTTCGATGCCGACACCACCAATCGCTTATTACACACCTCCCTCCACCGTTCGCCGTCCAAACCCAGTCCCTTCAGATCGGCTTTAATGCAATCTTCCCACCTTCGCTTCGGTCTACCCCTCGGACGCTTACCATTCGGCACAGCAAATATTAATCTTTTAGGAATTCTCTCGTTACTAAGCCCAACAACTTTACAAGCCCATTTGATTCGCCGCGACGAAATTACCTCAATTATATTACCCGGATACAGTTCACGCAATTCGGCGTTGTGTAACCGTCTGAACTCTCCGGTTAACTCATCCTTCTTCGGTCCGAATATTCTACGCAATACTTTATTTTCAAAAACCTTAAGACGCTGCTCATCCCTTAGTGTAAGCGGCCAAGTTTCGCATCCATAAAGAACTGTAGGCAAGATAATTGTTTTATAGATTCTAATTTTTAAGTTCCGGGACAAGAGGCGCGAACTGAGTAGTTTTGTCACAGAAAAATAACAAGCATTTCCCGCCTTCAGTCTAACCTTAATCTCTTCTTCAATTTCGTTTTTTCTAGTTATCGTAGAACCTAGATACCTAAATTTATCTACCTGTTCAAACATATTACCATCTATATCGATATCACCAGTAGTATCGCCATTTTTGCAGCTAACCATATATTTTGTTTTATCCACGTTTATTTCGAGTCCTAGTTTTTTACCGGCTTTCATTAACGTTGTCGTATTTAGTTTTATAGTTTCAACGTCTTCGCTCAACAGTACCAGATCATCAGCATAGCCCAGCACGGATGTTGTCCCACCCAGATCCAACCCTTTCTCGGTACGCATTACCTCCCTAATGGCATGTTCTAATGCCAAATTGAACAGTACAGGCGAAAGGGAATCCCCTTGTTTTAAACCCGAGCGAACCTCAATTTTTTCCGACAGATTATTACCGATTCTAACTTTATTGAGTGTCTCCGTCAAGGTAAAAAATTCAATATGCTCTAATATTGCTAATCAAAAACTTTTTGCCACAGCCCGATTTTTATATAGTTTTGTAACGGATTTCATCACATTTCAAACGAACAGGCCAACACGTGTTTTATGAGATTGCTACTCAGGGAGCTCTGAAACGTACAGGTCCGTCGAAAACCGCACATCGGAAATTTGACAACAAAACATTTTTCTTTTCTTTATAACTTATTTCCTAAATTTTTTCTGGAATTTATTACATGTACGAAAATTGAAATGAGTTAATCAGAAAATTTCATCAAAATCGTTAGAGCCGGTTTTGCGCTACAGTTTATAGAAAAATATGTTTTTCACTTATTGCCCAGGGAGCTCTCAATTCGTATCACAGACATTAGTAGTAAAATGAAAAAAAAAAGCAACAAAATCGGTCTACTAGTTCCCGAGATAATCTTGGCACAGACAGACCAATGGCTGAAAATTTGTTTTTCGATGTGTGGGCTCTGAAACGTAAAGATCCGTCGAAAACCGCATGTTGAAAATTTGACCCGATCACAATAATTTCCTTAGCTAGTATTGCTAGTATACGTAGGAAAGTAAAAAACAGTATCCTATTTTTTATTTTATGTCTTATTTCCTACTAATTTATTTGTTCACTTTTTTGTTTAGATTCCTAGGTATATCATAACACTCCATGAATTACTTGCGCATACTCCTCATGACCATGTGGAGCGAAAGAGTCTTCAAAATGCTAGGCAACAGCTCGAAGATCTATCAAGACAAATGCATGATGAAGTAAGTTATTAAGCATTTTCTTTTATTATATTTAAAGAAACAAAAAAAAAATTTACTTTTTAGTATTAAAATAGTTTTCTTTTTATCTCAAATCCAAGAAAAAACAAATGATTTCATAAATTTTATTATAAAATAAGTGAGTGTCTTAAGACTAGATTTTTTCTTGATGTAGGGCTGCGGTGATAGTTGGTATGTGCATGGATTTTAGTGAAAATTCATATTTCTCTTTCAGAAATTTTATTTTTTTATCAGCTATTAAAATAATAATGCCAAAGGAATGATGATTTCAGTCTCAACAGATGATAACTCGGCTATTTTTAATTTAAAACAAAACTTGATCTCTAAGATTACTAGGATATTTGTTAGAAAAAATCATTATCACACAACTTTCTCTTACCACCCTCTTCTTAGCAGAAATAAGTATTTTCAAGAAAAGGAGAAGTGAAAATAAAAATTATAGACGCTACATTTATTTATATTTCATTGTGAGTATTTTTATTTGTTTAAGTACTCTTATACATAGACATATTTTGATTTCTATAACAAACCATAACATTTATGAAAACCACATATGTTTCTGTAGATAATATTGTCGGAGTCCATATTATATTAAGCTCATGTTACGTATGGAAGCTTGTTTTAATCTTTCGGGCGAGTTCAGATTCCTTTGGATCCTCCATTACCATTCTCCATTATGATCGCTTATTTCTCCTTTAGTTAATTATCGAATTCTTTCATATGCAATATTTAACTGGTTTATATCAGAGATCAATGTGAAATGGTTAATTATTTCAAATAAAAAAAATTAAAGGTACTTTAGAGGAAGCTAATGTTGAAAATTAGCAATTCAGACTCTGTTAGAGAACATCAAAGAGAATAAAACTTACATTATATTTAAAACTGCCTAATTTTCACAGATATAATTAATTTAATCGAAATCGTTAGAGCTATTTTCGTAAAAATGTGTAATAACGATTATATAAAGTGCCACTTCCGGTAAGCCGATTTTGACGAAAAAGTTACTGTATCATTCCAGGTGCATACAAACCTTAAATATGCATTAACTATAACTGCAAACATTAACTAAGGACCTCAAAACAAGAAAAAAATTTCCTCTGAAGGTATGTCTGCAAACGCCTTATTATTAACAGATATTAACACCTAAAGATTTTCGTTGTTATGAATTATTTACGTTATATGAAATAAATAAAACCTATTTATTTGTTCTAACTACTTTATTAATTAGATGTAAACATTAACATTCATATTAAATGTTGTTCAAAGTGATTTTCTTGAGCATTAAGACATGCTCATCATCTTTCTTCAACAGCAGCAGTGGCAGAACGGCACTGGATATGTGTTATTGTTTTACAAAATTCAATTATCCTTCTTCGAAAGGAATTAAGGTCATTGACCGGACTTGCATCGACTTTTTGTGTAATGTCACCCCAAACCAAAAAAAAATTCAATGGTGTCAGGTCTGGAGAGTGTGCTTGCCAAGCCACTGATCCTGCACGACCAATCCATTGATTGGGATATGGGGTATGATTGAGCAATTCCGGTCCATGACCTTAATTCCTTACAAAGAAGGATAATTGAATCTTGTGAAACAATAACACAAATCCAGTGCCGTTCTGCCACTGCTGCTGTTGAAGAAAGATGCCGAGCCTGTCTTAATGCTCAAGGAAATCACTTTGAACAACATTTAATATCAATGTTAATGTTTACACTTGACATAATAAAATAGTCAGAACAAATAAATAGTTTTTATTTATTTCATATAACGTAAATTATTTATAACAAAAAAATCTTTAGGTGTGAATATCTCCTAAACAAAGCTTTTGCGGACACACCTTCAGAGGAAATTTTTTTCTTGTTTTGAGGTCCTTAGTTCATTTTTGCAGTTTGGTCTCTTAACCATGAAACACCCTGTATATGAAATATATAGGTAAGTGAAAGTAAAAATTGATCCTACCAATAATTTTTTATGTGAGCCAACTGAAGACGATGGACACAAAATGTCCATTTTTAGGAGAATTGCCCATAACTATATGCCTCTTATGATTACCTAATAATATTTATTATTATGATTTTTTCTAGGTGAGTGAGACAGAAAATCTCCGCAAAAACTTGGCAGTGGAAAGGATGATAGTAGAAGGCTGCGATATCCTCCTCGATGTGAACCAAGTGTTTGTCAGACAGGGTAAAGATCCAGAACACATCTAACTGTCTTCTACGTTGTCTGCTTCATCAAACCATTCCATTTTTTATTTATTTGTTTTTATTTATTTTGTTAAATGTTTTTATTTTTATTGCTTTAATAACTGTAAATGACTACCAGACCTGCAATCCTTTTTGGTAGGCTTTGTGTTTATCATAAATCCGTCTTTTCTGTTTTAGTTAGTTGTATTTATTTATTGTTTTGTTTTTGTTTCTTAATTAATAAATGGAAAAATTCGCTTGTTGGTCCTCTGGTTCAAAATAATTTTGCTTGTTTTATTGATAAGATAACATCGTTGTGCTGAATGTTTCTTTCAATGATTATATGTATGTAGTTTAAGGTGACCAGAAGTCTCGATTTTCAACATTATGTCCTGCCCCGATTTTTAGAAAGAATGCTCGTTAATTTAGGAAACGGCAGGAGAACAGGAAGACAATATACAGTTTTCAGCGACCATGTAGCTATTTTGCTAGGATATGAGTTTTATATATATTCTTTTTATTTTATAATATTAAACTTTAATAATAACAAATAATTGTTTAACATGTGCAATAACTTGGAAACCCGGTCTCTAGTTATAACCTTCAATAAGTTTTATAGCATTTTAAAAAAGAACTGCTTGTGTACAAACAGCTGGTGCAAAACGTTTGTCTTAAAAACTGTGTATTATTAAAGTCATTAATTAGAAGTAAAATATAACATCAAATTATTTTCTCTCAAAAATACGCCTTTAGAGCTAAATTTTCAACCCTATTTCAGTTGAATACAATGTCGCCTGATTAAAATTTGCACCAGATTATCATTATGTAAAGTTAATTATTGTAACAACAAATTTGGACTATTGTTTAGATTTATTGAACCAATTTTTTAGTAAAGAACCTCGCCCCCCTTCAATGGTGTCCCAATTTACAGATGTTAAAATCTGGTCACCTTAATGTAGTTACCTTTTTATTTATTATTTATTTTTTTATTTTATTTTATTATTTCTCCTCAATTTTATTTTTAATGCAATTTACTTTCTTTATAATTATTATCTGTGCAGTCTATTTAATGTATAAAAATTGAAGTATATATTAATTTACGACATGCATTATTAAATGTGGCTTTGGGTGTAATAGTGCTCGTTAATTAATGTGTCATAAATATAATATTAACACAAATATATTTTGATCTATCCGTTTTTAGAAATAAGGTTGAAACAAATATAAGACAAATCCATCATGTTCTATTAACAATGGCAATTAAGAACTGGCCTACATACTAGAACTCTATATGAATCATGAATTTATGATCATTTAAAGTCTTATTTTCTGTTGGTATCGTCATAAAATTCGAATGAGTCGAAACTATTTTATTAAATATCATCTAGGTTACGTTTTTCCTTGATGAAGAATTAAAGCTTAATTAAAAATGGCAATCAACTAAATATGTGCAATTCATAAAATAAATATATATTTATTAGTAAAGGTCTATAAACATCTTTAATATAAACACATGCAGTAATAATGTGCATGTGAAGTATGTACATGAATATAAATGTAAATATAGTGATTTTTTTGTTTGATTTTTGCAAGGTAAAACAAAATTATTTTCTGTGATAGACTGCAAAAATAATTGAAAAGTAGTATTTTTATATTCAGAGATTTTAAAGCAATGTTAAAAATTAATTTTAAACTAGGTTAAAATTTGATATGCTTCCATTAATTTTTGTTTGTGTTTTTAAATTTGTCTTTGTTGATCAACTTCATAGTTGAATTCACTTTGATCTAGGCAATTTTTCAATCTGTTAGGGAATCACCAAAAATTAATGTTGTACTAACATTGTATTTAATTAGTTTAAGGAACAATTTCTTACCCTGCTAATTTTATATTTTATTATTTTTTCTTCAAGTTTTGTTGTTGTTTTTTATTAAACAACATATTGTTAACATAACAGTTTCTTTGGGTAGACTTCATTCTTCTAAGCATTAGTAAATAGAATCGTAAGAAACCAAAGATTTTTGAGCTTTCTTGAAGGTATCACTATTTTAAAAATCAAGACTCAAGTTCTTAAAGATTTGTTTTAAATATTGAAAATTGACATTTCAACTTAATCCTTAACATTGCAATTTTATAGTAATATTTGGCAGGAAGAAAACAAGCTTTGCATTATTTAAACTTTTATTTAATATATAGTTATTTTATTTGATAGAAGTATACGGGATCAGAGTTCTAACACATGAAGAAGAAAGGCCAATAAAGAACTGCTAACAGAAACTGGTCAATCAATATCCCATGATATGAAGGTATCGAGGTTAAGATGGGCAGGGCATGTACCTCGTAGCAATCCATCTGGAAGCCTCTACGTAACAATGAATGCCTCAATAGAAGGCAAAAGACAACGTGGAAGGCCAAAAAGCAGATGGATAGATAGAATCAACAAAGATGCAATAAAGAAGCTTACAGATAACTGGAAAGAAATAGCCCAAGACAGGAAGAGATGGAGCAGGCTTGTTAAGGCAGCAAAATATCAACAAGGTCTGTAAATGCAACAGAAGAAAAAAAATATTATAAAATAATAAAGTGTTTAAAATTCAATTTATTCAGATTTTTTCATGTTTGAAATTCAAATATATATATACATAGATTAAATTGCATTTTGGATGATCTTTAGGTTTTGACTTCATGGTACAGATCATAATTTCTTTGTATACCTTATTCATTTCTCATTTAATAAATTAAACTGAATAATTTTATTTTTAGTTAGGTACAGGGTGGTCTTGATAATCCGAATACGCAGATTTCATAGCCTGTTTGGGTTATCAAAGATTAAATTTAAAATTATGGAAAAATTCACAAGGTAACGAAAAGCATATATCATCAGTTAAATAAAAACGCATTACAACCAAAATATTTCTGAAAATGATCATATGATTCTCCAATTTTGTTGCTAATACATGGTCTCAAAAATTTCTTAAACGTACCAGGCTTCGATAATTGATGTTGTATCTATTCGTCCACTCCAAGCAAGTATTAAATACCTCTACATTATTTCTGTGACTTATCTACAATAAAAAATAAAACGCCTGTAAAAAAGAATTTACAGCAAAATAATAATTAACAAGCCAAACTTTACTGGCATTAAAATCTGCTTTGCCACCCTTCTTAAAAAAATTCCTTGGAAATTAGATAACCTCATGATCTCTGCTGCAAAAACTACATATAAAGAGATTCCTCAACTTCTGAATGGCTGTCTAATTTTAATGGCTTAGAGACACCACAATAAAATTTCGACACTATCAGATGAAACAATTTCAGTTATACGTACTGAGAAACTCTCGAGAGTGTTTTTTTTTTCTCTCTTGTTCAGATTACCAGGGTTTTGGATTACCAGTGGTTGGATTATCGAGACCATCGTGTAATGATTTATTAATACCTTCTATGCTGGCACATCAACAAGTATTAATTATTTTTTTATATTAAATGACATTTTTGTATTTGTACTTACTAAAAAAACAAAAGAAAATAATCATGTAATTGTTTTCAAATTTTTTTTTATCCTAATAACTACGACTCGCCCAAAAAACGCATAAAGTTATATCTGTTCTTATTGCAAGCATAGAAAGTAAAAAAGTAATAAAATTAGTAAATTAAAACAACGAATGACAAAAGTATGACAATAATTTTTCTTTTTTTTATTTATTGGGAAAATTTGTATTAAAATATTATATATTAATTTTGCAATAAATTGATGCTCGTTTAAGTAAATATATTGGCCTAAGTATAAAGTATTGAAATTTATATTATATCCTTGTTTTTTAAATAAACTGACATACTACGATGAATGACTTTTCTAGTAAACTATTAAGAAATGATATGAGAAGGAGTTAGTTGAGGGTGCGGTCAAATAAATAAAAAAATTAAAAAATATAAATAATTTTAATTTTTGCCGACGTTTCGACCCACTTTGCAGGTCGTCTTCAGGGCGTAATTTGTGGTATTGCGGGAGGCAGTTGAAACACTGCAGCAGTGTTTCAACTGCCTCCCGCAGTACCACAAATTACGCCCTGAAGACGACCTGCAAAGTGGGTCGAAACGTCGGCAAAAATTAAAATTATTTATATTTTTTAATTTTTTTATTTATTTGACCGCACCCTCAACTAACTCCTTCTCATATCATATCAACGGTCAACCATCTCTACATCATTAAGAAATGAATATATGACATTAGTTGGGGGTACAGATCAGCCTATATTACAATACTAACACTAACTTCACTCTCTGTTTTTAAAGTTACCAATTAAATTATTCTGTTTCATAAATGTTCTATAACTTGTATTAATCTTGATTAATAAAAATATTATTATTGTTAAATTGTTGATGTTAATTAAATATTGTTACTGATTAAACTATAAACTTGATATTTCCTATTCGATAATTTTTTTCAAATCTATTGTAACTTGATTTTTAACTGATTTCATCTTCTTCATTAACTTATTATAAAAACAAATTTTATTCATAAAATAAAATTAATAGTATAAATAAATACATAAAATTACATAAATTAATTGTACTGATGAACATTTGAAAAGTATTTTATTTTACTTTCTCGAATACTTTAAGCTTTTTTGCATGTTTAAAAGCCTCAAGCTCTGGAGCCTATTCTCTCGGAATTTCTATAACAGGTTCAAAATACTGAGATAAAACTCGATGAAAATTCCTTTTATAACCCACTTATTTGCATCGAACATTCTCAATGAAATATTGGGACTTGCTCTGACTATGATATGATAAGCAGAGCAAATTCATCTTCACGTAAATGAAGACAAAACAAAATATTTGATAGTTAGCCGAAAAATCCACCCTAACATCAAAATCTCCATGGATACTAAGTCATTCTCAACAATAAACAGATTAAAATACCTCAGCTCCACAATGACCTCAATAAATGATCAACTAACAGAGATATAACAGCGTATAACAAACAAAGAAATTCAGAAATATTAAATTAAGGATGCACAACACT